TTACGAAAGTGCCAAGGCCATTCTGGACATGAATGGGTCACCCAGCACGCCAAGGAACATTTTACGAACACTAGCTTAGACGATAATTAGTGTAAGTTTTTATTGTTTGTGAAAACATGGAGTATAACTACTAAAATAATTTCCAGGATTCAACAACCGCGAGAAAACGTCAAAGGAATAAGTGCTTATGGAAACAAAATATAAGGAAAAGGCTGCGGGAAAGTGGAAAACCTTATCCAGATAGGAAGGGAAAACAAAGAGGTGGAAGAAAGCTGGGTTCACCATGTGTAGATAAGTGCCTATACCAGTGGAATTCAAATTTAACAGGGAATGACCGCACGAACTCCTTCACGAATTTTCGATACAAATTCCGAGTTCACTAGCATTAGTACAAATTATAAAAAATGTAAAATATCCCAAAACCCATTTGAAAATTCTTCAAATGGCTCCTGAGGATTTCAAAAACTTTTCACAAAAAGCTGGATTTTTGAACTTTAACCTTGTGACTTTTTCGAAAGTAAAATATTTAGAGTACAACTAAAATAATTTATGGAATATTGGATATAAAGCGAGTCACGAGGAAATTGATATTAATTCTCCATGTATTATAAAACATTCCCGTGGGCGTTTCGTAAACGTAACCCCAAACAATTTATTTCAGCAAACAATGCTTGTTTTATGTAAGCCGAAAATGAACAAAAACTGCACTTAATATGTGCTTCAGTTACAATATTCATTTGTAAATACTGTTAGTTCTCTGAATTATTATGATTAATATTCCCTTTTTAACTTTAATCTCCATCTTTACTCACAATTAATATAAATGAATTTTCCTTTTTTTATTTAAGCCGAAGGCCCTGGTAGCCAGTGCTTTAGTTTGTAAGTGGAATAATTATTTATAATTGTTTCTCTTTTAAATAAATAAAAAATAAAAAAATAAAGTTATAGGCATACATATTTTATTTACTCACATTCGAGGTAAGGTACCATTTCAGTTAGGTCTTTAATTTTATTTTTGTTCATTTTCGGCTTACATAAAACAAGCATTGTTTGCTGAAATAAATTGTTTGGGGTTACGTTTACGAAACGCCCACGGGAATGTTTTATAATACATGGAGAATTAATATCAATTTCCTCGTGACTCGCTTTATATCCAATATTCCATAAATTATTTTAGTTGTACTCTAAATATTTTACTTTCGAAAAAGTCACAAGGTTAAAGTTCAAAAATCCAGCTTTTTGTGAAAAGTTTTTGAAATCCTCAGGAGCCATTTGAAGAATTTTCAAATGGGTTTTGGGATATTTTACATTTTTTATAATTTGTACTAATGCTAGTGAACTCGGAATTTGTATCGAAAATTCGTGAAGGAGTTCGTGCGGTCATTCCCTGTTAAATTTGAATTTCACTGGTATAGGCACTTATCTACACATGGTGAACCCAGCTTTCTTCCACCTCTTTGTTTTCCCTTCCTATCTGGATAAGGTTCTCCACTTTCCCGCAGCCTTTTCCTTATATTTTGTTTCCATAAGCACTTATTCCTTTGACGTTTTCTCGCGGTTGTTGAATCCTGGAAATTATTTTAGTAGTTATACTCCATGTTTTCACAAACAATAAAAACTTACACTAATTATCGTCTAAGCTAGTGTTCGTAAAATGTTCCTTGGCGTGCTGGGTGACCCATTCATGTCCAGAATGGCCTTGGCACTTTCG